GCCCCGGGCGAAAACCCTGGAGTTCAGCGGCGCCTGCGCGGACGTCTCCGCCATGGATCGGGCGCGGCGGCAGCGCGCCAGCGATGCGTGCATTCGCTCGGTAGAACAAACTTACATCGCTCTTGGCCTGGACCATCAGATGGCGAGAACACACTGTGTCATCGACGAAGTGGGGCCGTTATTGTCGCAGCACTACTGCAGGAACATGACGAAGACCATGGCCGGCACCGACGAGAGGAAAAACATGTCGAGCTCGGACTCCGCGCCCTCACAAAGATCACCGATGCCCCTGGGAACGCATCTTCTTCTTCGCGTGGCGCGATCGCGGGGTCAGTGGCCATCGAGACAATGAAAAATGAGCTGCGCCCCGTCAGGGCCACCTCCCCCCTACCCGTGGCCTCCCATCACCCTTCCCATCTCCATTCGTGCCCCCCCTTCGCCAACCTCTCCTTGGAGGGCTATCTTGGCCGCGCTGCGCAAGAACCAGGGCGCCCCCCTGCAGCTGAAGGCGAAAGCCTCGATGCTGCGCAAGAAGGACGGCCATTGCGAGCAGCGCGAGATCGAGATTGCCACGGCGCAAAAACTCCTGGCAGGATTTCGAGGAAACGGAGATTTTGCTCGCAGAGGCAGCGTCCGTGGATGCTTCGGATGACGACGGCGCCGCGCTGAAGATCACCGAGCGGCTGCAGAGTGCGAAGAAGGCGGGTGAGCAACGCATGACGGGCTTCAAGGAAGGGAAAAAGCGTGCTGGGAGCGCCATTTCGAAGCGGGGCCGCGACGTCGGTTGTTCGCAAGGGTACGATGTCCGAGCGCGCAGATTGCAATGCTTCTTTCAAGTGTCTACGTCTTGGTACCTCGATGCTAGAGCGATGCGGCGTGTCAGTTGTGCTCCTTCGTAGTTTCCATATTTCCATATAAACATTCTCCACATGTCCCGCATCTGCCCGCCGTGCCGCGGAGAGGTGTTCCGGCGAGGCAGGCGGCCGGCGCCAGAAGAGGACCCCCCGCCGACCTGCAAAAAAACGTCTCCTGCGCAGGACGCGGCGCCCCCGAGACCAGAATCGCAACGATAGGAGGAGGAAGGGGCGGGAGGAGAAGGAAGAGGAGGATGGGAGGAGGAGGAAGAGGAATAAGAGGAGGAAGACGAGGGGGAGGAGGGGGATGGGGGGGGGGGGAGGAGGAGGAGGAGGAGGAGGAGGAGGAAGGGAGATGGAGGAGGAGAAGGAGGAGGACGAGGAGTAGGAAGAGGGGGGGGGGGAGGAGGAGGAAGGGCGGAGGAAGAGGGGGGGGGGGAGGAGGTAGGAAGAGGAGGAGGAGGGAGAAAACGTAGTGGAGCAGGAGGAGGAAGAGGAGGAGGAGGAAGAGAAGCGGGCGCTTGAGGAGGACGGGCAGACGATGGAGAAGGCATAGCGCGACATTGGCGCAGGCAGAGAGGGGCGGGGCGCGCGGCGCTGGCCATTTCGACAAGACCAAACGGGACGGGCAGTCCAGCTGCCGCTCGCTGGTTCTTCTGATCCGTAGCCGCCCGTGCTCAAGCCTAGTTCTTTTTCACGCCGCTTTGGGGTGAACCAGCGCCAAAGGGAAAGAGGCGCCAATCGCGGGCGAGGCAGGGCGACGGTTCCCCGTCGAAGCGCCGGCGCGGCGCCATCAGGGATTCATTTCTCGAAAACAGGCAGTCAGCACGGGAGCTCGGACATAATTGCTTGGCACCGCTTGGCCAATTGCTCCCTGATCAGATCGGCGATTTCAGCGCCGCCGCGGCGCGTCGCGGGGAAGGCAAGAACGTCGCCAGAGATCTGAAGAGGAATTTCCTGAAGGCGCGCAAGTGGCCCCCGACATACATGGCCAAGGTGAGGACGTGGAACCCGAAACTGAACTGAGAAGCGCGTTCAGATGTATGTTTTTGCTGCCGCGCGAAATGCGTTGAGTCATGCGTTCGCATTCGGATGAGACGAAATTCTTTGATACGGAAGGTTAGGGCGTCGAGGCGAACGCCCATCTGTTGCGATGCCAGGCGGCGATGGGCGCACCGACCCTTTTCACCCGTAGGTCTCTGGACTGATGGCGCGCCCAACAATTTAGACGGGAGCGATTCAGTCAAACCCGTTCAAGTAAATCTTCCAGGGCTGAGCGGTGACAACTCTACTTTGCGGGTTCCTGTGGCAGCGTTTCCCAAACCCCGCGTGCGTTCAAACGCGTGCAACGACTGCATGGAAATCGTGCGGTGGTCGCTTTCGGCAATGGCACGCGGTGCCTTTCCGTCGCGTCGGCGCGATGGCGCCGCTTGGCAAGCGACAGATTCGCACCGCGTTCGCCGCTCCAACAAACCGTTGGGCTTCCAGGGTGTTCTGGTCGGTGTCAGAGGAGATTGGGCGAGCTACAAATGCACGTTCGGGCCCCCTGCTTGGAACGAGGCGGGCGGCCGTTGCTGGCGGCGCTCGCGCGCCCGATCAGGCGCCGCGCCCCACGGTTTGACAGTGAATTTCCTTCTTTCCTCCGCCCGCGCCCTGCCACCCCGCTTCCCTGCCCCCCGGGGCAGGGGGGCGGGTTGGTGGGCGGGGCGCCGCGGAAGGCGGCTGATTACGCGCGCGTGTTTCCCCTGCAGGTTGGCGACGCGCGGGAGGACGCGCCGCGGCGGAGGACGCAGCCGCCCAAATCTGAACTTATCCTTCGGAACATGCGCAACGGATGCGTGCCGTCGCCGTTGTTGTCGGCACCCTGCGTGGATGACCTTTCCCCGTTTCGAGTGGATTGGTTGCATTGCGTGGACCAGGGCGTTGCTTTGGATTGGTTGTGATCAGTGATGTGGTTCCTTCTAAGTGACAGCAAATACGATGGCGGCGGGAATCGGGCCGAACGCCTCGACAAGATGTGGTCGTCAATCCGAGCCTACTACGACAGGAACAAGACGGACGACAGGCTCCACAAGCTGACGCTCTTGATGATCAAAAAGGCAAACCGCAGGAGCGCCCCGAAACTAGAGGCCACGGCGGGCGTGCGCAGGGCTCTGGAGGGTCGGATGCGGGAGGAATGCAACAGACTGTTCAGCGGTGGCAGCGAACTGGAGCAAACAATTCTCGCAGCGACGAACCACCTCCATAATTGTTACGAGGCCTTGCGGGCAATTGTTATTTTCAGGAGGAACACCACGACGACGAACGGCAAACGCTTCGTGCTCCTGCACTCGCACAGCGGCACCCTGCACTCTTCGGCTGCAGGCCCAAACTCCATCTTTTCGTGCACCTCACCCAAGAATCTGACCCGAAAGCTAATTGGACTTACCGCGACGAGGATTTTGGAGGGACCGTCAGCAGGATTTCACGGAGGCGTGGCGCCCCGATGACCAGAAAGGCCTTCTTTGCCAATGTTATGGACAGGTTCCGCATGGAGCCTTTGGTTCGCGTGCGATAGCGCTGCTGCGAAAAAACACACACACACACACAAAAAGAGCCGCCATTTAAGGCGGCTGCGAATCATCCTCCCTAGCTTTTTGTCTCTCTCTTGGTCGTCCTGTTGTGTATTTCTATGTCCTCGTTTCACATCTCTTTCTCTCTCTCTCTCTCTCTCTCTGCTGGCCCTGTTTTCTTGCATGTGTGCCTTGGTGGGAATCATATTTATGAGAATGGATAAACATCACGGGCTTCGGCACCGCGCTCATGGTTACAACGGCAAAAAAAAACGCGCCAGTGGTCGAAAGCGACGTCGTCCGCACTAAACCACGCGCGCTAATTAATGCGTGTTACTCGCAAATTCAACAAGCTATGATTAGCGCGTACACTTGCTAATTGGCGTGCACCCGTTAATTTTAGAGCTGGCTACTCGCTAGATAGGATTGGCAGCGCAATTTAGTAGATATCAATATACGTATCTGCGCTAATTAGCGATGGGTTGCTAATTAGCGCAGATAGGAAGCTCATGGTGGGCTCCCCGCGGAGATCCATCACGCCGTTCGAATTCCGGATTCCGGATTTCGGATTCTGGACTGGACCTCGGAATCCAGAATCCAGAATTCCGGATTCGGCGTGGGCTGCACGCGGAGATCCATCACGATTCCAAATTCTGGATTCTGGATTTGGCGTGGGCTCCACGCGGAGATCCGTCACGCCACTCAGATTCTGGATTCCGGATTCCGGATTCCGGATTCCAAATTCGGCGTGGGCTCCACGCTGAGATCCATCATGCCGCTTGGATTCCGGATTCCGGATTCCGCATTCCGGATTCCGGATTCGGCGTCGGCTCCCCGCGGACATCCATCACGCCGCTCGGATTCCGGATTCCGGATTCGGGATTCCGGATTGGACTTCGGAATCCAGAATGGATCCAGAATTCCGGATTCCGGATTCCGGATTCCGGATTCGGCGAGGGGCTCCCCGCTGAGATCCATCACGCCGCTCGGATTCCAGATTCCGGATTCCGGATTGGATCTCGGAATCCAGAATCCAGAATTCTGGACTCCGGATTCCGGATTCCGGATGCGGCGAGGGGCTCCCCGCTGAGATCCATCACGCCGCTCGGATTCCGGATTCCGGATTCCGGATTCCGGATTGGATCTCGGAATCCAGAATCCAGAATTCCTGATCCTGGATTCCGGATTCCGGATTCGAGATTCGGCGTGGGGCTCCACGCAGAGATCCATCACGCCGCTCGGATTCTGGATTCCGGATTCCAGATTCGGGATTCCGGAGTCCGGATTGGACCTCTTCGGAAAGACTCTCCGGATCACCTCTCCTCCTCCTCCTCCTCCTCCTCCTCCTCCTCCTCCTCCTCCTCCTCCTCCTCCTCCTCTCCTCCTCCTCTCCTCCCTCCCTCCTCCCTCCCTCCCTCCCTCCCTCCCTCCCTCCCTCCCTCCTCCTCCTCCTCCCCTCCTCCTCCTCCTCCTCCTCCTCCTCCTCCTCCTCCTCCTCCTCCTCCTCCTCCTCCTCCTCCTCCTTCTCCTCCTGCACCTGTCGGACACACCACCGGGCGGGGGAGAAAAGCGGCTGCCGCGGAGCGTTCGAGGCATTCTCCTCGACCGTGAGCTCGCCGTGGAGGATGTCGTCCTGGGGCACGAAGCCGACCACGTCCTCTAGCCGCTAGCATCGAGGAATGATCCAGCCTTGAGGAAGGAGGAAGGATCGTGCATCGGGAAGGGTCGAGGATGATGAGAAAGGAATGACCCGGATCTCTGAAGAGATCAGATTTTCAGTCGAGGCCGTTGATCTCGATGTCGGCCCCTCGGGCCCGTTTTTTCAGGTCTCGGGGGCCAGCAAACGTGGACCCGGGGCGGTTGACTACCCCCGGGGAAGTGGTCGGGACTTCTTGGCGCATTGAGAACAGGCACGGTGGCAGCTGTTAGGAAATGGATGATAAACAAAAAGGGGGTAGAGAATTCAAAAAAAACAGTGTTCTGCCGCTGATGGGGATCGTGAGAAGGGGAGGATGAATGGATCTAAACCTGCGACGACGCCCAGGAGCAGGGTCATAATCTGATTAATTATTCATCGCCCAGGGCGCTGTTGCGTGACGGCCCCCCCAAGCATGTGTTATCGTCATCCTACACTACGAGGATGAGGGAGAGGCACATAGTGAGGACGAGGAGGAGTCTTCTTGGAAGGGCCCGAAGGCGAACCATACAGGGGGGAGGAGAAGAAAGAGGAGAAGGGAGAGGCAGAGGACCGAGGAGAATCGAGGATCGAGAACTTCTGGGCGTCTCTGGCCCACTTTCGACTACCTAGCAAACCACCCCAACCTAACCCGAAGACCCACATTTCGGATTTGGGGGTGACGATTCCTCAGATGTATGCTTCAATGTTCCCCGACGACCCCCTCCACTGGGATGGAGGGCAGATTGAAGCTTTCAGGTTGGGTTAGGGTGATCTTTGGCGAAGCCGGGCCTGAATCCATGTCCACCGCCTGGGGGCCCGATCTCCCAGGTGCCCAGGGGGCGGTGCAGATGGACACACTTCGGCCCCACATGGCCCCAAGACGTATCGATACCCACCGCCTCCCGAGAATCAGGAAGATCGGTTCCCATGGGGCCCAAAGAGGTATCGATATGCATGAATCCTGGGTTTGGATCATCGGGCCCGCGGCGGGGACGACCGGAAGTCGCCAGAGGCCCAGGCTTCCAGAGGCTTTCAAACCTGGCGAGGAATACATTCGGCATTATCAAGCTCCGAAGCCCCTTAGACCACTTCCTCCGACGGGCATTTAAAGACGATAATGATGAGGGAAACCACTGAGGTACCGATACCGCAACTCCCTGGGCCTCTCCCAGGGTGCGTTCTGACCAGGACTTCGAGGCGAATCCAGCGGTGGCGACGAAGGCCTTGTCGCGTGACTTCTCCGGAGTCAAGAGGGCCACAAGGCGGGCCCAGAGGGCCCCCAAAGGCGGCCAAGACGGTCCAAGAGGGCCTCAAGACGCCCAATGATCGCTCCAAAACGCCCAAGATAAGCCCAAAACGTCCCAAGAGGCCCCCAAGACACCCCAAGAGGCTTCCAAGAGGGCCCCCCAAGAGAGACCAACATCATTGGTTTCAGAACCGTCATGTGGTGTTGAGTCCTCGTTTTGACGAGGCAGCGCCCAGCGTCACTCCTTCCTTCCTTCCTCCTTCCTTCCTTCCTCCTCCCCCTCTTCCCTCCTCCCATCCCTGCCTGAATCAGTCCACCGTTTCGGCACACTCCTCACACGGCTCGCGGCCCCATAGGGAGCTCCACCTGAGACCCCAGTGGCGCAGCCCTCATGTGGCCGACACCCCCGTTTCGGCTCACCCTCACACGTTTCGTGGCTCCATAGGGAGCTCCACACATTGCCCCCATGGCGCAGCCCGCCCACGGGCGACACACCACTTTCGGCACAGCCCTCACACGCTTCGTGGCACCATACGACGCTCCACACAAGGCCCCAATGGCGCAGCCCGCATGTGGGAGGCACCCCCTTTCGGGTTGGCCTGACGAGGGGCGGGCCATAATGCAAATGACGAAACCCGGCTTGAAACTTGCCGCGAGCTCTTGCTGAAACATCCCACGACAGCTGGACCGTCAAAATCCAGGACCTCGCCATCGCTCGGACGTCCACTCCCTGTGTTTTTTTGGCTTCTTGCGTGGATTTTTCGCCAAATGATCGAGGATGCTCCTCGATGGCCCTCGCCGAAGGAAAAATGCACACGTCCGAGCGATGCCAAGGGACGCGCTCGTCAAGAAGCGTCAGCACATCGGAGCTCCGGCGTACTCGCGCCTTGCGCTCCCCCGAAAGGTCACCGGAGCCCCCGCCAGGCGCGCAGGCCGACGCCGGAGCCCAACCGCAGAACGAGCAGCCTCCCAGCGCTGCTGCAGCGGGCGAGCGGCGGTGAAGCGGCGCGCCGCAGCGCCCCACCGGCGCCCCCTCCGCATCCCACGCTCCTCCACTAGGTGGCCACGTGCGAACCCTGCCCCCGCCCCCCACGATTTGCAAGGGGGGGGGTCGGGGTTCACTTCGCTCGGGAGCTCCCGAACGAAATGAACCCCATCCCACACCCTAGAAATCGTGGGGGGTGGGGGCTGGGTTCGCATGTGGTCACCGATCCATCCGCACCAATCTGCGCCCGCAGCGCTGCTCCCGTGGCGACGAAGGCGGCAAGCAAAGGCGCCTCAGCTTGACGCCGCAGGCAGCCTGCATGGAAGGTCCTCGCACGACAAGGCTCGAGCCAAAGCGCTTGCGCGCGGTTGCGCGGCTTCGAGGCTGCGAACGGATTCTCGTTCGGACAATACCACCATAATGGCAGGATGCACCTCTAAGCAATCATCCGAACCTGGCGCTCGCCTTTACGACGATTTGCACCTAATAGGCATGCACCGACTGAAGAACAGGCAAAACGGCACATGGATCAGACTGCATGCTGGCACGTTGGCGGGATGGGCCGAAAGCCAACAGAATCCGCCGCCCCTTGTGGGTGAGGGGTGGGGGGGGGAAAACTGCATGGGGGGCTTCGCGCCGGCGAAAATTACGCCAGGGCCAGTTTCCCGAGCCGGCGAAAAATATGACCCCAAGAGCGGGCGATAATTACGTCGCATGACAGCGCTCTGTGGGATGCAACAGCATCTCCATTCGCATCGCGCGGCGCATTGTGCGCGTGAGTACGCTCACGCACGCAAGCGTTCGTAACTGAACTACACAGACGCCGCAAACTCATACACACACACACACCTACACTTCGGCGCACTGCGTGCACATGGGTGTACTGCGCACGTGCGCGCGCTTGTTCAAGTGCGTTGGGGTGGGCAACGCACGCCCGCGCTCACGCGAACACTGAGCAAACGCGCCGGCGAAAAGGAAGCAGTCCTCTCGCTGGGGCCGAATATTACCGCCCCAGAACCCAACGCCAGCGGCCGGCGACAATAATGCTGGTGCCCAGAATCGCGTTCCCTGAAAATTACACCACCCGGGTCGATTTGGGGAATTTGAATACACGGCGTGCTAGACTTCTACTGGCTCTCGGACAACTATGAAATCCCTGTGGGACTTCGGCCTAGAGCGCCGTCCACGCGGAAAGACCTGAAAATCCCGGGGAGGATGCCATTCTCGCTCCAAGATGGCCACAAATTGAAAGGGAAATTGGACGCAAGCGTCTTAATCCGTAAGACTGGCATTTTGTAAGGAATCTTCTCTGCGCCGACAGCGCCGAAGAACGTCGGACTCGACATTCAAAGGACCCCATGCGGGGCCCCCTCGGGGCCCCAAAAAATAACCCCGAATTCTACACCATGCCTTCGCACGTTGGGGCTTGTGAGGGTGCCTTCTGCTTCCTTCTGTGAGTGTTTCGATTGTTTGACAGGGCCGAACTCCACCCTATCGTAGCGCGCGTGGTCAAAAACATGCCCCCCCCTGAAATTGCTCCCCGGGGCTCTTTTCGGCATCCAGGCGGCCAAGTTTGCCTCCAAGATGGTTTCCAGGACAATCAAGACGAGACCAGACGAGCCCTAGATGGCCAAAGACAACTCAAGAGGCTCTCAAGACGGGCGCGAGACGGTACAAAAGGCTCCTGAGAAGGCCTACACGAGGCCTTCAGGGAGAGCCCGAGGAGCCACAATCATTGATTATCCTATGTTTATGGGATTTCAGACTTATGGTTTGTTTCTGCTTTCCGACGCTCCCAGACGGCCCCAGAGGCTCCCAGAATCGCCCCAAATGAGGCGCTCAAGAGTGCCCCAAGACGGCCCAAGAGGCGCCTAGGACGGCCCATCAGGCGCCCCAAGACGGCCAAAAGAGGGGGACCACGATCCACAAATTCGAGCCTTCCGCCCGCAAAGAGCCCAATAGGGCTCCAAGAGGCCGCCACGCCGCCCCAGGAGGGCCTCAAGAAACCAACATCATTGATTTTCTTTGGGTGTTGCAAGATGTTGGGCTTCTCGCGTGTCCGGCTTTCCGACGCTCCAAGAACCCCCAATAGGCCCCCAAGTTCGTTCACAGACGGCCCCAGAGGTTGCCAAGAGCCTAGAGGACCCCAAGACGGCCCACGAGGGCCCCGAGGCGGCCCAAGAGGCGCCCAAGACGGCCCAAGAGCGCACCAAGACGGCCCCAATAGGGGCACCACGAACCTGAAATTTTAGTTTCCGCCCTGAGAGGGCCCAAAAGAGCTCCAAGAGGCCAAAATCATTGGCGTTACAAGATTATGGACTTCTCGCCTTTTCGGCGTTCTGACGCTCCAGCCCAAGACGCCCCAAGACCGCCCCGAGACGGCCCACATACCTCACGGCCCCAGAGGCGCCCAAGACAGCCCAAGAACGCCCCAAGACGGCCCTAAGAGGGGTCTTAAGAGGGGGACCACGAACCGAAAATCCAAGCCTTCCGCCCCGAGAGGGCCCGCAAGAGGCCCAAAGAGGCCCAAAAGAGGCCCAAAAGAGACCCAAGAGGCCCCAAGAAGCTTCAAAACTGCCTCCAAGAGGCCCCCGAGGGGCCAACCACGAGATTCCAACCAAGCCCCACGAGGCATCTGACACGCAACCCAGGCACGGTTGAAGGGCTTGCCGCAAGCAGCTGGATAGAAACACCTTCCGTACTGCAGGTTCGTGCCGTGTCGACCCTGGCGTTGGTTCCTGACACCGCGCTGGATCGTTCAACCTTGAACGATCGGCCGTCTCCGCAACGTCCAATCGTTCCACATCGAACGATTCTGGGTCGCCCGCGGCGTTCAACGTTGAACGTCGGCGGCGGGGTCGCCGCCGGTCGACACGACGCGAACCTACCGTAGCGACCTTTTCCACGATGAAAAGGGGTGACCTTCGGGCCATCACTCGGCTCTCTGGTGGCCGTTCGCGACGATCCGGGCACCCCCGGAATGCTCTCGACGAGCCGCAACTGCTGGAAACATTCCGAGGCTGGAAAACCACTAGAACTCAACGAAAACTGCCGCGAACCGCGAACCTCGAACATCTTCTTGGCGAGTGGAAGTGGGGCCAACACACGCCCTGCGGGTCTGGGCTCGAGGGCTCCGCGCGGTCCTTGAGAAATCTCAGGTCGTCGGCCTTCCTGCCGCTCACCAGCAGCCTGCCGCTCACCTGAGCGACGAGAACAAACGAGTCTTACGCGAGATGACATACAGTGGAGGCCAGTCCACAAGAAACCTTCCACAAGAAACCCAGTCCTGAGACCCCAGGACGTTCATTGGTTGCTGGTGTGGGAACGTCAAGCTTGCCACGGCAAAGCCATCGAAACCACAGAAACCCGAGGCACCCTGGAGGCAAGCAGGGTGCTCCTTGGCATGGGCCCCCCACTGTATAGCGGCCTTACGCCTTACGCGGTGGCTTGCGCGGGCCGCCACCGAGGCACGCCATGATGGGCCTGTTTTCCACCACCACCACAATCAGTTGGAGGCGGGAAGGAGGTAGAGGAGGAGGAGGAGGAGGAGGAGGAGGAGGAGGAGGAGGAGGGGGAGGTGGACGAAGACGAGGAGGAGGAGGAGCAAGAGGAGGAGCAGGAGGAGGAGGAGCAGGAGGAGGATGAGGAGGATGAGGAGGAGGAGGAGGAGGAGGAGGAGGACCCCCTCCCCCTCCAACTTATGGTGGTGGTGGTGGAAAACATGCCCATCAACGCCATATTGGATACGGCGCACACGCACGGACCTCCGCGGGCAGCCCACGCGCCAGTGTCGGCGCAGTCGACCCGCTCACTTCCATCCGCCCACCTGGCCGTACGAGGCCCTGCCGCTCAGCACTGCGAGCAGCGTGGACTTGCCTCCGCCCGAGGGGCCCATCACGGCCACCTGCCTCGCGGAGCCGATCCGCATGCTCACGCCCTGTGTAGAGGGCAGGAAATCCACCCCGATAATCCGCCGGCCCCCTTGTGGGGCCACCAGGCTGTAGGCGCGAGGTTTGCAGTTTCTGTGTCAGTTGTAGCTTGTAGTTTCCAAAGTTACAGTTCTGATTCTTGCTGGTTACTGTAACTAGTTGACTTATTGCTGGTTACTGTAACTAGTTGATTGACCGCGCGAGGGGGGGGAGGCCCAAACCGGCTTTTTAGCACCCCCTGGGCGCGTTGTCTGAATTGCTGGGGGGGCTCGAAATCGCCACCCCTCACGCAGATCCGCGGGGTCAGGGTCCAAAAACACATGGGATTTGCCACATTTCTGAAATTCGGTGCCACCCCTCATGCAGATCCGCGGGGTCAGGGTCCAAAAACACATGGGATTTGCCACATTTCTGAAATTCGGTGCCACCCCTCACGCAGATCCGCGGGGTCAGGGTCCAAAAACACAAGGGATTTGCCACATTTCTGAAATTCGGTGCCACCCCTCACGCAGATCCGCGGGGTCAGGGTCCAAAAACACAAGGGATTTGCCACATTTCTGAAATTCGGTGCCACCCCTCACGCAGATCCGCGGGGTCAGGGTCAAAAAACACAAGGGATTTGCCACATTTCTGAAATTCGGTGCCACCCCTCACGCAGATCCGCGGGGTCAGGGTCCAAAAACACATGGGATTTACAACTTTTTTGAAATTCTGTGCTACTCCTCATGCAGATCCGCGGTGTCAGGGTCCAAAAACACACGGGATTTGCAACTTTTTAAAAATTCGGTGCCACCCCTGCGGGGTCAGGGCCCAAAAACACAGGGGATGTGCCACATTTCTGAAATTCGGTGCCACCCCTCACGCAGATCCGCGGGGTCAGGGTCCAAAAACACATGGGGTTTGCCACATTTCTGAAATTCGGTGCCACCCCTCACGCAGATCCGCGGGGTCAGGGTCCAAAAACATAAAGAATTTGCCACATTTCTGAAATTCGGTGCCACCCCTCACGCAGATCCGCGGGGTCAGGGTCCAAAAACACATGGGATTTGCCACATTTCTGAAATTCGGTGCCACCCCTCACGCAGATCCGCGGGGTCAGGGTCCAAAAACACAAGGGATTTGCCACATTTCTGAAATTCGGTGCCACCCTTCACGCACATCCATCGCAAGGCGTGGTAACCCAAACTGCGAGAACTCCCTCGGCCCTTTAATCGCAAGGTGTGGTAACCAAGCCCGTAAACCATACACGTCTTACCAATCGCCAGGTGTGGTAACCCCTCATGTGATCAGTTGGTTTTGCTGATTGCGAATCGGCTTCGCATGAAGTTTCGATACTGCTTCACGACAGCGCCAAGGCCTCATGACTTAGCTCTTCCATGGCTCATTCTCCGAGAGAGGGGGCCGGCGGAAGGGGGCGAAGCCCTTACGGATAACCACCCCGACGCACGAAGCCGTTTGGCAAACGCGCCTAAAGAAGGAATCGAACAGGCAGGGCTGTTTAGTAAACGCCCAAGGCCGTGTAGTAAACGCCAATTGTCGGGTCCAGGTGGTTATTCCTCCCTTGACTGTGGCCCGCGGCACGCCCCCGGGGCGGGCGCCGGATCAGCCGCCGCCGCCGCCGCTCTGGAGGGTCTCTCTTCGGGCGCCCCCGGCCATCATCCCTCAACCAGTCCGCATCCTAAGGAAAAAAGCCAGGACGAGAAGATAAATTCGGGTGAGGCAAAATCGAGAATCTCTGAGGTCCGGCGGCTCTGGAGGATGTATCGGGCGTCGCGGCTTTTTCTCAGAGCATTCCATAACGCTCTGAGAGCGTTCTGGCACGCTCTGGAACAGGTTTGTCCTTATCCCAGCCCCGCCCGATCTCCCCATCCCCATCTCCATCCCCATCCCCACCCCCACAATCCCACCACGCCAGTTGGGGGTACACCCCTCGAAGCCTGGAGGAGACAGCCCAAATCCCCATTCAAGGTAATTCGCCGGCCCAACAGGCCAGAGGCGTGCTAAGATCTCGGGTAACCGGTTCACAATATTTCTAGTTCGCGCGCGCGGGGCGGGCCCTGGGGGTCCGCGGACGAAAAAGTACCCCGACAAGGTCCCGGGAGGAGCCACCAAAGCACTCCAGGAGAGGGCCATTTCTCGAATCCCCTCACGAGGATCGTGGTCTCCGAGGGGAGAGCCGCAATCGACTACCCCCCCTCCCGCCCTAAGAGGCCTCCAAGGGCCCCCCAAGACGCCCTGGGGGCCCCCAAGACGCCGAGAAGTAGCCCCAAGAGACTCCCAAGAGGGCCCCAAGAAGCAAAATTAATTGTTTTCCCTTAGGTTTTGCGGAAATATTGGCGTCTCCCCCTTTTCGGCATCGCGACGTCCCAAGACGGCGTCCGACGGTTCCAAGACGGCCCAAGAGGCCTCCAAGACGGCCCAAGAGGACCCCAAGAACGCTCTGAGAGAAGCCCCAGAGGGAAAACACGAAACAACATTTCGAGCCCTCGGCCCTAAGAAGCCCCCAAAGGCGCCAAGAGGCCCCTTTCAAGCCCCAGGAGGCCCCCCAAAGGCCCTCGAGATAGCCCCCAGACGCCCCACGAGGCTTTCAAGAGCACTCCCAAGAGGGCCCCAAGAGACAAAAATTGTTTCCCTGAGGCTTTGGGGAGATCGTGGCGTCTCCACCTTTTCGGCATCGCGACGCCCCAAGACGGCCCAAGAGGCCCCCAAGATCGCCCTAAGAGGACCGAGAGGCCTCCGACGGGGCCCCAGCCCCAAGACGGCCCAAGAGGGTTCCAAGACGGCCCAAGAAGCCTCCAAGACGGCCCAAGAGGACCCCAAGAACGCTCTAAGAGAAGCCCCAGAGGGAAAACACGAAACAACATTTCGAGCCCTCGGCCCTAAGAAGCCCCCAGGAAGCGCCAAGAGGCCCCTTTCAAGCCCCAGGAGGCCCCCAGAAGGCCCTCGAGATAGCCCCCAGACGCCCCACGAGGCTTTCAAGAGCACTCCCAAGAGGGCCCCAAGAGACAAAATTAATTGTTTCCCTGAGGCTTTGGGGAGATCTTGGCATCTCCACCTTTTCGGCATCGCGACGCCCCAAGACGGCCCAAGAGGCCCCCAAGATCGCCCTAAGAGGCCCGAGAGGCCTCCGACGGGGCCCCAAGACGGCCCAAGAGGGTTCCAAGACGGCCCAAGAAGCCTCCAAGACGGCCCAAGAGAACCCTTTCAAGCCCCAGGAGGCCCCCAAAAGGCCCTCACGAGGCCCCCAAGAAGCTCCCAAGCGGCTCCCGAGCGGCTCCCAGAAGCCCCAAGATGCTCCCAAATGCTCCAAACGGAGCTCCAAGAAACCCCAAAGAGGCTCCAACAGAAATCCAAGAGGCCCCCAAAAAACTTCCCCAAAAGCCCAAACGCCAGCGAGGGCACAATACGGGCTGGCGGAATGAGAGAAGCGATAAAATAAATCGGCCAGTGGGGCCCAGGCCACGCCGAGATAGGGATCGGTTGAACGATGCCCCGACCCTGACGATCTGATTGTTCCAAGCTCGGCGCTGTTCAGCGAGTTCGGCCTTGGCGTTGTTCCGCTGAGAAGAGGCTTGACGTCCAAGCAGGGTAAGCCCAGGCGGAGGCCAAACACTCCGTGCGGACATTCTCCGTACAGCCTTAGCATCCTATCAGGAGAAGCTCAGTCCAGACGGAGTAAGCCCACGCGGACGCCGAGCACTCACTCCACACAGACTCACAGCATCCGATACGGGCTGGCCATCGGGCCCCGGGACCAGCAAAAGCAAGTCTGGGGCGGGGGGGAGACTCGTCCAGGAGAGGCGGTCGGGACCTCTGGGGATGCGGATGAAGCAAGAACACACCTCCGCGGATGTCAGGAGTCGACGCCGTCGCCGTCGCTCTACAGGGCTTAGCCTCGGGCGCCCCTGGAGGCCCTTGTCGCCACGGCTGAACGCGGCTCTGGTAGGTAGGGGGCAACGATAATGGATGAAGAGGAAAGGAGTACCCATGGACAATGACCAATGACCACGCCTGAACGCGGAAACGTCGGTGTCGACCTGGGTCATCGTCAATCTTCATCAAGGTCAATAAATTCGTGGACAGCACTTTGCGAATCGGCGACGGCCAACATTAATCATGACCAAGATCCGCATCGACAAGGTCCCGCGACATCTCGGTCATGGTCATCGTTTTTCGTCCCTCGAGATACGTGGGGACTGGGACTGGCTCCGTGGGAAAACACGGACATTCGAACCGGCGAAGTAAGTACATTGCCGGCACATCGGCGATGGGCCCCGATGGCAAATGCGCACGCTGCTGGGGGGGCATTCGAGCCCCTATCGGCGATCAGCGGACGATTGGGGATCGATGCGTCCCCCCCTTCGCCTATCCCGCCCGAGACTCGCCCCCAAGCTTTCGGGCCACAACTCAGCTCTCCGACGGCTGTTAGGACCTGGGCACCTCTGGAACGCTCTCGGCGAGCAGCCCGCGGCTTGAAAAAACGGAGAAATCCAGCGGAGACGCCCGAACACCTCGAGCGTTCGACCCCCTGGACTTCTCCTGGAATGGATCAAGCTGTGGTCACGAGGGCGCCCCAGGACTCGAGCCTGTTGTCGAGGAAGAAAAAACCACATAAACATCAATTTTTGGAGGTCCGCGCGGATTTCTTGGACCCGCGCCGCAAACCCCTCCCTGGCGCGCAGAGCGCGCCAGGGGCGGCGCTGGAGGCGCCCGACATGGCGCGTTCTGCGCGCCGCCGGCCTTGAGCAGCTTGGTCCCGTCCGGCAGGAAGAAACTCACGTCGTCCAGCCAGAAATTGACCCCAGTGGCCCGGCTCCTCGCAGGGCCCATCAGCGGCACCGTGCAGCCGAACGGCCCCCCGTCATCTCCTGCCTTTCCTCCTCGATCGTCCCCCTCTCTGTGATCGTTTCCTCGTCGTCGTCGTCGTCGTCGTCGTCGTCCTCCAAATCTTGTGGGCCTGCGCGGGGTTGTCCCCGTGCAGACGCCGCTTGTCGTATTTTTCGTATCGTACCACTGTGGCAGCCACTTTCAAAGGGCCTCCCTAATGAGGAGGGCCTCTGATGGGCCCCTCGTGCTCCAGAAGCGCCAGATGCGGAATGGAAGAGAGGGAGCTGCTGTCCGTCTGCAACCGCTCAACAATCCCAGCAGCCCTCTGGACGTAGGTGGTCTGACGAATCAGCCTTTCTTTTTTCTTCAAAGCCCCTCCTCCCTTCGGGTAGGGGTACCCTCATCCTACCCTCGCTGGTTTGTTTCGGCGGTGGCCCGGAGGTGTTAGAGGGTCCCGTTTTGCCCCAGATGGCTCCAACAGGCTCCAAGATGGCCGCCAAGATAGCTCAAGATAGCGCAAGATCGCTCAAGATGACCTCCATCATGGCTCCAACGCCCCAGAAGGGTCACGAGACATGCCAATGTGCTCTCCGGAAACACCTCGGGGCCTCCCCAAGAGGCAAACGCAACCAATGTGTGTTACCTTCTCGCCTTCTCGCTTACGATGCGTTTTCAGGACTCAAGATGGCCCCAATATGGCCCACGAGAGGCTCAAGAGACCCCCTAAGAGGCCCCCAAGACGGCCCCCAGAGCAACCCACAGCGCTCCAAGAGGGCCTCAAGAGGGCCTCAAGAGACGATGTTGCGGGCCCCAGGATGGGCCTAGATCGGGGTTCCCCCCTTCATCGATGGTCTCCAAGGTGGCCCCAGAAGGCCCGCCAGGGTTCCCAAGAGGGCCCCTAGACAGGGACCCAAGACCCCCCGAAAGAGCCAGGAGGACCCCAAGATCCCCTACACAGCCCCAAAAAGGTTCCAATTGACGATTTGAGGGCTCTGCCGTGGACCCTGTTATCCTCCTCCTCCTCCTCCTCCTCCTCCTCCTCCTCCTCCTCCTCCTCCTCCTCCTCCTCCTGCTCCTCCTCCTGTTCCTCCTCCTCATGTTCGTCATCGTCCTTGCCCTCATCGTCTCCCGATTCCTTTTCCCCCTCGTCGTCGTCTTCCTCCTGCCAAGGTCAGCACCTTGCTTCCAAAAATCTCTCCTTTCATCCTTCGTCCTTGTTCCCGTCATCTCTCTTGGGTTTGCTGTGAATAGGCTGGTGGGATACACGAAGCGTGACATACTCAGCAGCTGCTCGATATGAGTACTACAATCCTCTCTCCCCAGTTTCTGTCCTAGTTGGGCCCCCTAGCTGGGCCCCATTTATCCCGTCTCTGGTTACGCACCGGATTTCAGATGCAAGCGTTTTATAAGGAACCTTCAGTTGCAACGCCTCGATTGTTCAGAAGGTGCTCCCGCTGCTGCAGCGTTGGCCTCACTCCAAGATCGGTTCGTTGTCCCTCGACGGTCAGAACGACGATCTCGCCCGAGCCCCGGCTCGTGTACACAACCCTCATATCGTATTGCGCATGACACACGATGGGGTCATGGTGAGGGCCAGTCCGCCAGGACACCCGTCGGCGGCATTGCGAAACAAAAACGCCACAGGAAGAGGCGGGTGGGAGGGGGGGTCATAGATAGTATGTCAGATATGGCGCGAGCGCGGGTCAGACAACTTCTCGGAAGGCGCGGGGGTTTTGAGGAGAAGTCCCGCCGCCTTCCGCGAACGCATGTTCATTCTCGGTTGCCCCCCGATGCTCGCCGCCGAAGGAGGGCGAGGAACAGCGTCAGCAAGGGCCCGAGCAGGAGCCGGAGGAGCCCGAGGAGGTGGAGCAGGAGGAGGCCGACGACGACGTCGATGAGGGCCTCCCTCCCTCATCTCATCCCTCCCAGTCGATAACGCGGAAGCGGTGCACTCAGCCAGGAAGGCTGTGCTCATCCAATCTTTACGCTCAGCCATGCAGGCCATCAAGGCTGCAGTCGGAGAAAGCTTCTTCGCCCACCAGCAAAAGAAGCGTCCAGGCGGGCAGAAGTCGGGGCCTTGCCCCTGTCCTGAGCTGTGGGGTAACAGAATCGCAGAGAAAACACGGGTCGTGGACCCTGGCGCCTCCCACAGGACTGGCGCTTCCTCCTGGGAGGAGAGGAGGAGGAGGAGGAGGAAGAGGAGGAGGAGGAGGAGGAGGAGAATGAGGAGGAGGAGGGGCCCTGGGAGGCAAAGAGACAAAGAACAACTTCGAGGAGGGGCCGTTTCCATCCAAAGGTCTCCGAAGGCCTCCAAGGAGGTCCCCACAGACCCCTGGAGCTCTCCCAGACGCTCGAGGCCCCAGACGATCTCTGGAGTCCCGACATGGGGGGAAAGCACTTACAGACCATGATCCCCGAAGCTCGATATGGCGAGCTCTTCATGGGCCCCTGACGCTTTTCAGCGCGGATACACCGCTATCAAACCAAATGAATCCCCCCGAATGCTGGAATTCTCGGCCCCTCCTGATCTCCCGCCAGATCATGTTCGGGGAGAGGCTCGCTTCGCGAAGCAACTAGGCCGCCGGAGGGGGGTGGGCAGGATAAACAGGAAATGGGGGGGAACCGCATGCCATGACATGGGCGAGAGGACGCGCCGCCATCTCGGGAGTTGGTTAGGCATGAAAATCGTCCCCTCGCGCCGCGCGCGCTGGCTTAATGGGGTGCAAGAGTTCCAGCCCGCGACAGGCGATAGCTATTGTCGAGCGTGTAGCACAATGTCTCTCGCTTGGCAATTGCGCCGCGCCGACATGCATTGCCATGTCAGGCGTCGCATCACTGGCCACGCAAACGCATGGTCGCGCGGCGACCGCGGCGGGCGCCGAGCCGACCGCCCCGCGCAAATCGCGAAAGCGATTCAGCCACCCCCACAGCGGCGACAAGTCAACCACCCCTGGTCGCGGAGCCATGCGGCCGACATCCGCGGCAACAGCGGCATCGGTCACCCCGCAGACAGGTCGGCGATTGGAAATGGGCGCGCGCTACGACAGCACTAGCCCGCTGGCGTCGCCAGCGGAGCGCCGATTTCGGCGCGAACATCGAAATCGACGCGACAAGCTGGAGCTTGGCCACTGCATGACAGCGGTCAGCTTCCCGAGCCCGCGAGGTCTGAAACTGCGCGGCGTCGCGCGCGTCGTGCTGCAAGCCCCTCTGTCACGAGCGCATCGGAAACATGCAAGCAGACATTCGCGCGTTTAGGTTGACGTGCGCACCCTTCCGCAAACGAGCCCCAGGGAGCCCCCGACGCTACCCCATCGCGGCACGCGGCCCCGCGCCAGGAGGGGGCGAACCGCAGTGTGCCACGCGCGCGGCGACAACCGACGACCGAATGCCGCGCCAGCCGAAACGCGCGCCATTATTGACCGCCTCGCGCAAGCCGTCGACGCTGCCACCGAACAGGGCACCAGCCGGAGAAAAAGAGAGAGAGAGAGAGAGAGAGAGAGAGAGAGAGAGAGAGAGAGAGAGAGAGAGAGAGAGAGAGAGAGAGAGAGATAACAACAAAAAAAAGCACGCGGCGCAAGCCAAATAACTCACGACTGGCACCGCCGCGCCAGCGGAAACACCAACAGTAGGGCACCGCTCAAGACGAACCGAAGTTGCAAGCGGGCGTTGCGCAAAACAAGCAAAGGTTGTTGAACTCAGCCCATGCCGCGCGAATGGCTCATGCGAGACAACACCCGCCGACGCAACGCCAATCAACCGCAACAGCGACAGCCATTCGGGGGACAGCGTTGCACCTCACCGCGCGAACACAACGTCGCCCGAACGACTGAATAACAGCACATGCCGTGACACGCGCGAGGAGCATGGGGCATCGCGCGCACCCGAATGAGTTAATATCATAGCGCTGTTGCACATGGCCCTGTGCGAATGCCCGAAGTTGGCCTCCGCAGGTTTCAATCTCATGCTGTAGCCAACGTAGTTGACTTCTCTACCTGAAGTGCACGTGGTGCCGCGGTGTACCTATTGATTCACTGGTGTGAGACCATGTGCTTGAGGATCCATGCGCGCTGGGTGTGCATGTCGATGGTCGCACGAGCGCGTTGCCATAGCATCGTTGCATTTTTCTCAACATGAGCGCAACATCAACACCAGTGCAAATTCCACGTGCGTAGCAATGTGAGGCACACAACGTCAAAGCGGAAACTCGATCGCCATGGAGGGGGCGCAACGGAACAGCGGGAGGCGGAGCAGGAGGCGTAGAGGCAAGAAAGGATTGAGAGGACGACGGAGGAGAAGGATGAGGACGATGACGACAAGGACGACTGGACGCTGCAAGCGCTCGCCATCCAAGCTATGGCAGGGTTGGCCCCTGCAGAAGCACACAATCACATGATTCGCAGCAAGGGGCTGCCAGCGCGTCGCACGCAAGGCGCCGAGGGCTTCGCCTCTAGACCAGACGCCCTGCTGCGCGAACCCCCCCGCCCTCCTCGTCTTCGTCGCAACCTTCATCCGCGCCCGCCTTCTCCTCGCCCCCCATCGCCCCTCTTTTCTATACGGCCACCTCTCCCTCACATCACCCCCCGGCATAATCATGGGCGCTTTGAAGGCCGCCGCGCCCCGTCGGCGGCGATCAATTGCCACGGGGGCGGCGCAGAGCAAAACGCAGAAGCAATGCGAAACAACCAACACTGACTGATTACAACCCTGGAGGGCACATGCTCGGGCCCCACGGTCTCGCCAGCCCCCCCCCCCCTTCGCTTCGAGGCGGCCCCGTTCGCCCCCGAGACGAGCCCGCAAGTTTTCTAGAACCTTCGCGGCATTCGAGATTAGGATTGAACCTGGAATGCTCGGTTTTGTCATAATGGTGATTATTCAAAAGCCACGCAGCGAGAAACCCGAAAGGTCTACCCTGGCCAGCTCTGGCGGCCACTGGTGACGCGCATGTCCCAAACGTTCGGGCGCCCCCTCCTCCGCGTTCAGGGTTCCGGCAAT